CTAACCTGCCTTTTTATCTTTCAGAGATTCCTCATCGTTTTTGGTTCACTGAAGACACTTATCCCTTGTTTATTTTTCAGGACTCTCTTAGCATTTAAGGAGCAGGTGGGACTCTAGAGCAGGTGTTCAATTTGCCATTTTAGTTCAATTGTAGAAGTTGTGTTTAAAATGCACAGAAATCACATACGCTTTGTTTTCATATGGACTTGCAGTTCCACCTTTTCTTCTGCTAGTTCTTTTTTAGGCTACTCTTACTGCTAGGTAGAAAAAACTACTTGTGTGTCTCTTAATCTTGTATCTCTTCATCTATTCTTGGATCTCAGTATCAGTGAAAATTCTCTTTTGTGGATTATATTAATAAGGGAGTGATGATTTAGATGCCAACTTTGACAAGACTGCATGGAATATGTTATAAAGTAAAAATGTCGTAGTATAGTTTGCAGAAATTTTAAGAAACATGTTGCTTGTATTCCTCACATTTTTGTTGTTGTATATAAAAAAATCATTGCAAATATGATGAATTTCAGTGACTAAAATAATCACAATTTCATAAGGTTGTAAGTTTTGAGTATATTTGCATAGGCTTTTAAGTAAACCAGAGTCTTATTTTTCCTTTAATCTGGTGATTTGCTTGAGACTTTATTAAAGAAAGATCTTTTTTTTTTCAGACCAGCATCTCAGACATGTCGAAAAAGATATTTTGATCCCTAAAATAATGAGAGAAAAGGCCAAAGAGAGGTGTTCTGAACAAGTTCAAGGTAAGATTCAAATATTCATGTAAAGATCAAATTTATTTTTAATAATATGATCTGAATTTAATCCTTAGCCCCAGAATCAAGTAGTCAGTGAATTAATATGTATGAATTGCTTCTCACCCTTTTGCTGAAATACCAGTATTTCAGCTTTCAGAACTTCCAGTGATGTTCAATTCATTTACAGTTTAAAAATATTTCCCTAAATTACTAGTAAAAAACATCTTTTTTTTACCCTCAGAGGTACAGTTATATCCATAGAAAAACTTGGTATGAGTAATTTGGAGAAACAAGTTATTCTGATGATTTTATAGGGGAGGAAGAAACATCAGATCTAGCCTATACCTGTTTTCCATCTGTCACCATATTCACATGTATATATATAATATATATATATATTCTAAGGTGATTTTCTTTGGTGTCATTGTCTATTACTGAATTGTTAATAGAATCCTGATAGCACTTACAGTGAGTCTGGGGTTTTTGTTTTGTTTTACGTTTCTAAGTGGAGGATATTTATGTAAATACATACACTAGACAGCTACACATGTATGTTTTCTTTGGAAAATGTTTTAACATGAAATACTCCTGTAGATCTGGAGACATCAGTGATTGATGTGCAATATTCTAGTGAAACATGTAAACAAAGCAGTGAAAGGTGAAAAGTGAGGCCATAATACATTTGTAAATGATGAGTTATTAGAAAAGCACATGGCAATATTACTGTTGAAATAGCTTTAAAAATATTCTACCTCTTGGAAGGGCCATCAAAAAGAAGTAACAGAATTTTATGGACATGGGCTATTTTCCTGGCTTTACTTCTTCAGTTTCCGTGTGGTCATCTTTGTTGAGGGAACACAATAATTTTTAGCGAGGATGATGGGCTGCACTTCCACTGCAAGCTTCTCTACAGGGGAGCAGGGCTGTGTCAACTCTAATTTCAGGACTGGGTCAATAACATTTGGAGACTAGGAATGCTTTTGTTCCCTTCTCTGTCCTCTGCCCTTAGAGAGGACCTTTGCAATTGATGAATGGAGGTAATAAAATAAGAGTAGTTCTTTGGACTCAACAATGTGTGATGGTCATTTTTGTTTCTTCAGTAACTTATTATGACCTATCCATTTTAAAACTCATATAAATAACCATCCTGTGGTTTTACTCTTGCTTTCCTGTATTAGTTTAATAGTTTAATCAGAGTACCTTTCTTTAACACCTACCCCCGGGTGTCTTGAGAAGTCAACCTATTGACACCTGCAAGTAGTGCATGTATGGCATTGGCAGGTGTCATGTTTATGGTCACAAGAGGTACAATGTGCACATTCCTCATAGAACTTAAAAAATGTATATCCTGATTCAGGTGAGGGGAGATAAAACTTAAAAAACTCTATACTAAAGTTGTAGGGCTTTTTATTGCTAGGGAAATTTACTTATTACTGATATATCAGTCTGAAGTTATACATATAAGTTGTATTTATGCTGTCATGTAGCATATTATCTTTATACCTGGAATGAAAGAAAGCGAGCTAACTCAATTACAGATTTAAATTTTACTGACATAATTCCAAGGAAAATGCAGAATGATTGTATGACTTTGGGTTTCAGAACTGTCTTTCATTGTCTCTTAGACAATGAAACTTTGTTTTTGGTTTTTGAAATGAAAGAATAGAGTATAACTTTAAAATATTTATTTGTGTTACAAAACTAGTGTTTTATAATGGTACAGAAAATAAGTGTTTAATTTTCACTTCATCAGAAGTTGTTTAGGATGTTGATGTAGTTAAGTTTTTGCTTTTTCAACATACTTGAGTTTTCTGAAGACTGAAAGCATCTTAAAATCTGTGATTCATTTGGATTATTTAAATGTATTCATCTATATTAGAATATAATAACATAATTTGAATTTCTTATAATTATATATTGATTTTTTAGGCCATGTGATTCAAAACAATGTTTTAGAATCTAAAATTGATAAGAGAATAAGAAGTCTATTTTCTAACCATATAAATTAGGAAATGATATACATTAGAATTATTCAAGCATCAAAAGAAAACTTCATTTAAACTGAACAGTAAGACATAATTTAGAATCGGGACATTTCCATTGTAGTTTATTTACTGTTTATAGCTTTTGCTTTATTAAATAATTATAGGATTTTGTATAAAAGCATTATGTATGCCAATTGTATGGTTCTTAGATAAAAGATACAGGAATTTTAATCAGTGGTCTGACTTTCTGCTAAATGCCTAAAACATGATTATGTAGGAAAGCTTTTCCGTTAGATTTTTTTTTTAAACGTCATTTCAACCCAGCTGATCATAAGAATTGGGTCAGACTGTCAGCAACTTAGGTTTGTGAAGGGAATGGAACAGCTTTTCCATGGACAAAGAGAAATGAAATCACTTTCAATGAAAGAAAGATGCCTCATTATAGTCACCAACAGCAGTTATTGACAGCTACACTTCCTATTAACAAGGAGCATTTAACTAAGAGTTTGGCTGTTGGATCTTTGGACTTGATCTAATTTGCTAGCATTAATTAGTTTCTTTTGAGCACAGACACTTGGTGCTCACAGCTATAGATCTGGAGGGCTAATTAGGATAGAAAATTGAACAGAATTGGGTAAGGCATTAACTTTCAACCATTACCAGCTGGGACACTGATAAAGACCACAGAGTCCAAATGTTACCTATTGATGTGAGGAGGACCCTAATGAATATCAATTTCAGCCAGGTTGCTATATTCTTACTAGTTGTCTCTTCATTATAATTTTTTAACCAGCTTACATTATACTCTCTTTATCTATACACCATTGGTTTTTACTTACTGTACACTGAATTAGTCTGAGTTGCATATTTCACCTAATGTTTAAATACAGTTAAAATTTGTCAAGCAGTAGATAACATTTAGAATGTTTCATCATTATATACCCTTGTAATTCTAAAATTTAATTTTAATCTGGAATTACATGATTCTAATTCTACAATGAATTTGTGTAAGTTCCAGTAATATGCCGTTTCAATATAATGAAAACTATAACGTAATACAAAAAAATTTTAGCTTTTGGGTGACAATTAGTTTTCATATTATTCAAATGGTGTTGACTCTTGAATCTTGGTCTTTATAAAATGTATTTTTAATAATGTAAAGTAAGAAACACGAAAGTATTTGGTTTCTTTTTTTCCCCCTTTTTCTTTGAAATGGAGTCTCACTATGTTGTGCAGGCTGGTCTCCAACTCCTGGGCTCAAACAAGTCTCCCGCCTTGGCCTCCCAAAGTGCTGGGATTGCAGGCATGGACTACTGTGCCCGGCCTATGTTTCTTTTTGAAGAGAATAGTGCTTAGCACCTTTCCTTTTTGAACTTTGATTTGATTTGAAAAGGTGGCTTGACTTAGAGATTAGAAAGGAGAATCCTGATCTTGCTATTGGGGAAACTTTGACAAGATTATAAACTCTGTTGGTATCAAAAGAAAAGTTACTGATTTAAATATAAAATTTAATTTTATAGTATTTTTTCCTTGCTAGTGATATTATTGGCAGTGAATAAAGCCGCTAAAATAAATGACTGAAGTATACTGGTAGACATTAACACAGTGAACACTGAGTACATTGGGAATGGAAGTGAAGGAAAACTCTAGAATGGCCAAATCGCTTTCTTACTTCCTCCCACTTTCCTTACCTTCCAAAAGCCAAAACAGTAATATCCCACCAAATGTAATGATGAAATCATTACTTTTTCTTGGATCTAGGAGTGAGCACCTTGTGTCTTAGGGAGATGGTTTGACAAACTCTGGATTTCAACTTTGTGTCTTTTTCTAGCTGTTTGACTTCACTAATTTAATGATTTATGTTTTCTATGTTAGTAATGTTTACAAAATATTGTTTGCCATATATAGGTAAAGTATGCATACTAGTATTATACATTTTTCTCTGTAAGAGGAAGAGTCACTGAATTATATAGTGTTTTATAAAAATTCCTCATTATATTTCTTTGCTTTTTTGAAGTGCATAGTCGACATTTGCTATAAAGTCTCTATATTGGATAATGACGTTTGCTTTAGAAATAATAAGAGCCTTTTCTCTTTTTTCCTTTTGCTGTCACAGGTAAAGACAAAAAAGTATTTCGTCATCAGGGATGGGTTGGAACTTTCTTTAACCTAGCTGTATTCTTTTACAGACTCCTTTCATCCCTTGGGCCTTCTTTTCCCTTATTTTAATGTTCGTTTTCTACTTATGTTGCAGTCTTTATGATCTGTTGTCCCAGTAAGTGAGATATAGCTCTGAAAGAATTATATGAAGTACAAGGAAGCATGGGTTATTTGTTTGTTTGAAACATCACAGAGCTGTAGGTAAATAACAAAGAAGCTTGATAAAATACCCTGTTCTGTCAATCACACAGAACTGAAGTATGTTCTATTTTGTGAAATTCCAAAGATAAGTGAATAAACAAAAAAGAATCAAGTTAAGCATGCTTAGAATGTTCTTTAGGAAGTTTACAGGCAGATAATTATCAAAATAGCATTGAAATAGGTTACAGAGCTGCAGACTATATACATGGTCAAAGTAATCAATCTTCTGTCCAACTGTGTTACTTGAAGCTGCCAAAAACCTGCCTTTTTATTTGTTGTTTGAGGTGTAACACTCGTATTACATGTATTTTTGTCGTTAACCAGTTCAACGGTATTAACTAATGCTGAAGTGGATATGCATCACATCTTGAGACTAGTTTGGATATATTAAAAGGAAAATAACCACTGCATATGATGAATAGCTATTATATATGAGTATATTATACAGTCTAAGAAATACAAGTAGATATAAGGCATAGTTTCTGCACTTTGAACTCACACTGGACTATGTTATGGGTTCCCAAGACCACCATTGGATTGATTGATTCACTGGGAAGACTGACAGGACTCAGCATATAATCCTATTCATAGCTAAAATTTATTACAGCAAAAAGATACAAAGCAAAATCAATAAAGAGAAAAGGCATATGGGAAAGTTCA